TGGCTATCCTCCAGTCATCTGGGACCTCCCCTGTTAGCTAGGTCTGCTGATAGACGGTGGGGAGTGGCTTGGCCACCTCCTCCGCCAGCTCCTTCAACCCTGTTGGGCAGATCCCATCCACCCCCATAGACTTATAAGTGTCCAGGTGGCGTAGCAGGTCATTAACTGCTTCCTCCTGGATTATGGGAGGTTTATTCTGATCTCCATCCTTGTCTTCTAGCACGGGGTACTGAATACCCTGGGATTAACTGTGGCTGTTAAAGACTGAGGCAAAGAAGGCATGAAGTACCTCAGCTTTTTCCTCATCCTTATTGGCAATATTCCTCCCCACATCCAAAAAGGGATGGAGATTCCCTTATTGGGGGTATCTGGATAGTATATTGGGGGTATATTGGAGTATCTGGACGGTAGGAAAACTATATATGAAGTTAAGAAGGAAACTAGTCAAGGAAAATTGGATTTTACCCTCTGAAACTGTACTTGTGTATTTGACCCTGCTGCTCTTGGTGGTAGTTAGGATTAACAGAGTTACCTGGAAATTACTGACAATTTCTTACCTGTTACTTTTCATTATATAAAACTACAATCTCAAATGCTCCTGATTTTCCTCAAATAGATTCTTGATTTTAATTATCTTAATTAAATTTATGTGAGCTACTTAGGACGTTGTTTCTTAATGTGGGTTGACCCATTCTTGCAAAATGATCTTCAGAAGGAAAAAGTTAAACAAGCATCAGAGCAAAAGGAGCCACATCAGTTTAGGAGCTTTACGTCTAAAAGAGCTGAACAAGATGTGCAGCTACTTGCCCAGGTACGATTTTGGATAGGATCAAAACCCCCAGGGTGTTTCACTATTCCTTCAGATGTGCGTAGAATTATCACTGACCTCATGGAGGACACTACTTAAGGAAAGCACGAGACAAATGAGGGCAGAGGGGAGAAATCGTAGGATTGTATCATCACTGTGATACCATGCAGAAATAGTGGAGTCAAGTTAAATCCACTGTGAGTGTGAAAATCTGCTTTCTGTGTACTCATTACTTCTTATAGGCATACAGTCATGTTTGCTGCAATAAAGTTTATATTCATATCCAGGTCTTCTAAGGCTATTAGCAAGGCTTGGAAATAATATGTGGTTTTGGTGAAGGAAATAGCCTTCCTATTGCTCACTTTTTAAAATAGTATAAGGTTGGAAAGTATTTTACCCATGAAATGGAAAAAACTTCTAATCTCTTTACTCAAGAACACCTATTGTGCACTAACAATTACCTGTTTTGTTTTTCAGAATGACGACAACTTCTTAAATATCATTTATGAAGCATACCTCTTCAGTGTGAGAAAGGCGGCAATGAAAAAGTCTATGTGAAAGATGATTTTAAAATTCAATTTCTGTTACTTCCTGAACTCCAGGAAAAAGGTTTCAAATTTTTCAAGTACGTTTATGTTTAAAGAAGTGAATGGTCTTAGGCATTTTGCTTGTTGGCAAGTACACGCTGTACTGAGAAAGAAGGGAGCAGAAACGGATTGTGCCTTCAGGGAGGGGAGCGTCACAATACTGAAGACTTAATCACAAAATATCTGAAATTATTTTTCGTATTTTGGTCCATACTTAGAATTGGTTTCCTTGCATAAGGGCTCGGTTCTCAGAACTCAGTTTCTGTTTTTCACTTGCAGTGTGGTTATCCGTTGACGAGGTATTTGTCAGGGCTGCTCTCCGAGACACGCCAGCCGCCACGGTCGGGGTGAGCGTGCCCGGCTCTGCCCACTTGGGGGCAATGTGGGACTATTTTGAGGAGCGTGAAAATCCGGGTGAGGTTTTGGGAGGGAAAGTCTTGGGCAGACTGATCTATCGTACTTAGTTGTCTGCAAAGCAATTTAGATGAAATGTCATGACTTTCCCCCAAATTTTTGTAGAAAAATCTTTTTCTATTTTAACAAGAATATTTTTAGCTAGCTTTAGAATTGGAACTCTGCAGGAGTTTTGAAGAACTTGGGGGGGGGGGATTTTTGTGAATGTACTTGCTATCAGCCTAGCTCTGGGGTGGCACTGGATGCCTGTTTCTGTTATTCCAGATCCAATCTGCATTATTATAAGCAACGTACAATTTTGTAAGGGCAAGGCTACCTGGTGTAAAAGTCTTATTACATTTTTTTTTTTAGTGTGTTCCTGGGGCACAGTGATTTAATTGATCGATTTCTAAGGAAAATAAAATGGATAATCCCTACTATGTGCTGATTTTGTTTTGTTGTACCATGGACTATGTATTTAGAATTGTTGGGTCAATTGTGTTTGTATTGACTTTAAAACGTTTTTACACTTGGCAGAAGACACATGAGGTTTTAAATCAATTAGAATAAAAGACTGAAAGAAATTTTATGTATATTTTTATTAGCATCTGTTGCTCAAGTACCAGTTTACTACAGTTTAGGAACCCAAAGTTGTTGCTGAAGAGGCTTTTGTTTTGTTGGCACAGAGAATCTAATCTGTAATCCATAAATGAGTGTAGGCCCCTCTTTACTGTGGGCATTGATGTAGGCACAACTCAGCAGCCTCATCTGTGAAGGTTTTCAGTGTAAATTAGGATGCAGGTTTCAATGAGCCTGGTTGTAATGACTCAAACAGTTGCTGCCAACCCCATACATGTGGCCTTTCTCCAGTGTAAGAGTGTGATTTGGGGGGGCAAGGGGTGGGGAAATTTGCTCACATTCCTTGGGGAAGGCTCTAAATCAATATAAAACAAAAAAGTCAAGAGCTACTTTCTTTATACGCAAGTGAATAACCTCAAGAGACTCGTGCCTACAAAACTCGTAGACTTTTCCTACATTAAGTAGTTCGTGAAGAGCAAGTTGTATTCTGGTTCCGTTTTGTTACCAAATTGCTCAATAACTTCTTGCAGTTTCAATGAAAAGAACATGTTGAGCAGATACCAGGAAGGGCAGACTTTAAAGACAGCAAGCCCTAATTCTAATCCTGTAGCTGTATTAATTTAAGTAGCCATTATAATTTATGGGGTTCGACTGAGTTAATTGGTATTATTTCCGAATTCACTGGTACAGAAGAAATCGGAATTTACACAAAATAGTTTATATGAGACTAAATATATGTGTAATTGGTGTTTGTGATGCTGGATTATCTGATAGTGCCATTTAGAGATGTTAGACCTCATCTGACATGTAGAACTTCTGTAATTGGTGGGTAAAAATAATCCGTAAGCATCTCAAGCTTTGTTTGTGGTAGGTTTTCTAGTCATGGGGGAAACATTTTTATTTACAAAAAAGGCAAGTAGAAATTTAAAAGCCATCCTTATTTATTGCTTTTCAGAGTAACATGTCATTTACAAAAATTAAGGCATACTTTTTTAAAATATCTTCTATTAACCCTTGATGTGTATGACAACAGTGCACTATGGCACTATGCTTGACGAGCTGAGGCTTATCTTAAAGCAGACAAGGACAGAACTAATTCGTGGTTTCCTCTCACTGCCCTCGCTTCTGGTTACCTCTACACCAAGTGACACTGACAGTGTCGGGTTTCTCTCACTGTATTATGCTCTAAGGGATTTCAGGCATTGTTCATCAGGCATAAACCTGCCTTTGGTGGAGTGAAGAAAAGAAGGTGAGTTGCTACAGAAGGGAGCGCTGCATTAGTTGACTTGCATGCTTACCAAGAACAACAGAGGTAAGAAGATACAACAGGCTCAGAAAGAAACTCTGAATTTTAGGACAATGAACAGAAGAGGATAAGTAGTGAGAGACTTCTACTGAGAAATGAAACCAAACTTCTTGTCTAGGTTTCCATTTCAGATGGCAGGACCCGCTTCAGAGGCACTTGGGAATTGGAGTCTGAGCTTGGAGTCATGCTGGAGTGTAAAACTGTGCAGTGCTCTGTTCTTCTTTCTACTGCAAACTGAAGTATCTGTCTCAGAAAAACACTTTTTCCAGAAATATAGTCGGAGCCTTCTGGTACCGTGGAAAAACTGGAGGATCCTCACATAATACTGAAAGTTTCATCTCTGCCTTTTGGTATTGTGTTTTGTTTAATAGCCTTTTTATCAGCTGAGACTGTCTCTTTATGCAGCCAAATCTTATGCATGATACCAAAATGTTTATTTCGGGTTTGATAGATCATCTCTGAAATAGAGTGGTTCTGAACACTCAGGTTCCCTTATGTTATTTTTTTAAGACTGTTACAACTAAGGACCCCTTAAGCTAGCAAGGCCTTTGGAAAGGAAGAGGCCACAGCAGTTAAGATTGCCTTTCTTTGCGCCTGCTGTTTTATCTGAAAAAGGAAAAAAGGTAGCAAGCAGAAAACTGGAAGGTATGTAAGGATCACATTAACTCTGCTTTAGAAGCTTCCACAGTATGCATGTGTAACCTTTTTTTTTTATTGTCAGTGTGTTCCTTGATACACTGCTGGTTGTGGGTTGGGTTAGTTTTTTTCCTTTCAGTAGAATAAGTACTTTGTAAACTGGATCTTAGCAAGAATTGTTTTTTTATTGTCAGTGTATTCCTTGATACACTGCTGGTTGCAGGTTGGGTTGGTTTTTTTCCTTTCAGTAGAATAAATACTTTGTAAACTGGATCTTAGCAAGAATTCCAGAGATTGTAGCAGTGCTTTATGCATTAATCCCAGTCTGGGCATTGAACTGATAATTGTCTTCACTGTGTTTCCACTTAGCCACTGTCCATTTCTTTACAAAATTCCACACCTATTAAACTAGAGTGAGAAGATGAGGAACAGAAAGTCTGGGAAATACTGAAGCACAGTCGCTGTCAGTGTTTAGCGTGGAAATCCACAGTATTCAGTGGAGGCATCCAAATATTTCCTCATGCCCTTCTCACAGAAAATTCTAATCCTTAATCTGTTTTTTATTCATTAGTTCTCTTTTGCTCCTCTGCTTCTCCTTGTTGTAGCTACAAAAGGGGATAATTAAAGTTGTACAGCAAAATAAAATTTTCCAGAAGCAGGATGCAGCTGAATAGGCAGGATTCTGCTTCTCCTCTGACAGCCTATTTAGAACGTGTTGAGCTTTGAATTTCAGTCATAAAATCGGTGAGTATTCAAGAGATCTTTGTCCCTTTAGGATACTAAAATCAGTTTAATGTTTTAGCAAACTTGGAGATCTTTGCTGAGGAAAAGGCAAAATTAAAAGACATTTTTCAGTAAGCATTTGAGGCTCTAATGTATAAAATGTTATGAGATGGCAGCTTTACCCCAAGGGATCCCTGAAACGTAAAAAAAGGCAAGATTCTCATACTGGACTAAATAATGCACTAAAATATTATGAATGCACTAAATGAATAATGCACTAAAAAATTAATCCTCAGTCAACCTACAGTAAACTTTACTGCTAATCCTAAGGATTTTTCAGAGACTCTTACAAGTCCTTGCCTTTTCCAAACTGCTGTGGCTACCTCTAGCAAGCTTGTTCTGGCCTGTGGATGTAAATCTGTCTGCAGCGGCGTCAGGAATATAGAAGAAGGGAGCTTGGCGTATACAAACAGGAGGAGGAAAATGTGGTTCTGCAAGACACTGAAGAACCAAAGGCTATAGCTTTATAAACAATTTAAGCTGGCTCTGGTGCTGAAGAGGCAGCCCGTCCCAGACACCCACTCCTAGCTGCTTATCCCTGCTCCCACACCGGTCTTTCCTTCCTTTTGCCTTTATTTTTCTGCTTTTTTGTTTTGATTAAGGTGGCTACATGGTAAAATGTGTTGCAGCAGAATTAGTCTGGGTTAAGAGTCCCTCCCTGCCGAGGCTTGGATGAGTTCAGTGGGCAGCAGCCCAGGCACCTGTATCAGCGTGTGGAGAGGGGTCTGCAGCCATGGGGGAACTGGATGGGATGTGGGGAGGGGAAAGTCAGGCTGGAGACTTGAGCTGCCGTACTGCCTTAAAACTGACTTGAAGCTTTTGGGAAACTGTGATCTAAAGGCCTTTGCCTCTTCACTGGCATGAAGATCAAAATGTGACTTCGTTGTTATCCCCTGTCTTGGGTCGTTGTGGAAATCCATGAAGATGTTTGCAGATACCTTCACAAAGGGTAACTGCTGTTCATGAGCCTAATCTCTCCAGGCTCTCTGCGGAGCCAGTGGAAAGACGGGATCCTCCTGAGGGCAACTCTCAGTACAAACCTCATTTAGCTTGGGAGATTAGATTGACTGGGCTAAAGTTAGCCTTTGCAAACACCTTCCCCAGCACCACTATCTTGTACTGACGGCAGAGGCAGCCCCTGCCTCTTCCTCACAGTGCAGCAGATATTTGGGGGACTTTTCCCTTCCTGATTTTTTTTTTTTTTTTTTTTTTGTTAAACTAAATTCGATTCAGTTAAACTGGAAGGATATAAATCTGCCCAGCAAGGAAGTGAG